AAAAAAATTAAAATGCCTAGGGATGTAGCTCAGAGGTAGAATGCTTGCCTAGCATGCCCAAGGCCTTGGATGCAATCCCCAGTGAAAGGAAGGAAAGGAGGAAGAAAGAGAAGGAAGAAAAAATGTGTCCCTTCTCCCTCTTACTCTGTTTATTAAAGTGTGATAAAGGTATTGATGACAAATACGAGTGTGAATCCTAAATGGACCACTTAATCATGTGAACTTGGACAAATTACTCAACTGCTCTATACCGCAGCCCTAAAAATGTGAATCATTTGAAGATAGTTTGATGATTTAATGAGATAATGCATATGAAGACAGCTTTTCACCTCCTCTGCATTTTTAACAACTCCAGAATCTTCTATTAACCTTAGAATGATGGTTTCTCATTTTCTCTTCTCTGCACCCATTACATGACCACACAAACAACAACACCAACCAACCCTCTGTCTCATAATGCAATTAAAACAGTCCCTTTTTGTAACTATTATCTTGATCTCCTCTCCCAAGCCTCAGCTCTTCCCTATCTCTAAGATGCTGCCATACTCAGGAACTTAGGAAAATTACTTGAGTCATTTTTTAATAAAATTTACTCCTTTAAAATACATCTACAACTCAAGGTATGGAACTATCTATCACCAGTACTGATTCTAGAACATTTTTAATCACCCCAGAAAGAAACCCCATAACTTAATAGACACCCATCCTCTCTCCTCCCAGTCTCCAGCACCCACTAATCTTTTTGTCTCTATGTATCTGTCTATTCTGGAGATCTCATATAAATGAACTCATATAATATATTCTTTTTATGTCCAATGCTACCACCCTATCATGAAGTGCCATCATTCATAGCTTGGACTCCTTCAACAGCCTCCCGAACAGTCTCCCTGACTCCACTCTCTTCACCTCTACGAAGACATTTAACACACAAAACATAAACTCAATTGCTTCAAACCAGACAACTGGACTTCCGCGATTAGATAAGCTCTGGGTACAAGTACCCACACGACTCTGTCCTGCCTCATCTCTCAGCACCCTTCTCACACTCTTCACTCCAACCACACTGGCCACATCCCTCCTAATTATACCAAATGCAACCAATCTCTTAGCTTCTGCCTTGGCCTTCCTTTAGTCTGGAATCCTAGTCTGAATCAGTTTTCTGTTCAAATACCACATGCGCATCTATGTTTTCCCACTTAGCCACATTCTGGAATCATTTCAACAACTCCATTTCCTTCACTCTCTTGATCAACCAACCCCTTATTCAGAAAAGGGATATTACAATTTTTACCCCTATGCTGAACCTCTTTAAAAACAAAATGAAAGCACAAGGTCGTGAGTTCAATCCCCAATACCACACACACACACAAAAAAAGAAAAGTCCTGATTTTATATTGTACACCTAAAATGTACCAATAAAAGAATTTACGAATAAAAAAAAGAACCGAATGAAATCCAGAAAAGTAGAAACACAGGTGCTCTCCTACTAAGATATACCTCCATTTATATATAGTTATCTATAAATATTTTACCACACCAGAAACTGATTTATGTAATAACCCTAGAAATCTGTTTGGTTTTTTTCCAAGTGATTTGTCAAAAATTTCTCAACATATTAGAAAGATTTTCATCTGGGCATTTCTAAAGCACTGAGACATGCTTAAACATTCTTTTCCATGTTTACAGATTACAAGCTAACCATGAATGTTAAGGAACCTATAGCTTAAGGCTTCAAACTGTGTGAACACACCACACAATGAGACTGTTAATCAAATCAGAAACAATGTATAACTGGAAAAACAAGGCTTTGGAAATACACTATCCAAAGTTCACATTCTACCTCGGGCAATTGTGCTCTCACATTACTTAACTGCTGAACTCTGTTTCCTCTTCTGTAAAATTGGGATTTTGACCTTAGTTGTTACATGGATAAAAGATAACGTGAAAGCCATATATGGCATATAAAAGTTCAATAAACTGTAGCAATTACCATAAAACCAACATCCCCTAGCCACTGAATGTAGTTAGAAGAAACTAGCTATTTAAATAAAATATATTTTCAAAGCTGATGTATAAAACAAGTAAAGACTAAAAGGCAAATACTACATATATCCTAAAAATAAACAAACTCTGTCAACTGACTAAGAAGAGGCTGAATTCTCTACAGTAGTCTAGAGTTAGCTGTCTGCCTTCCACAACAACTAACAAACAGGTTTGCAAAGTGGAGAAAGGGATGAAAGGGGTTAAAATCTTCAAAAGGTTCTGCTTCAGACAGATTCAGCAGAGCACATTTCAAGCTCATAGAAGGGGAGCATGGAGAGAAGCTAAGAAGCAGCTCAAGTTCCCCTAGGAGCGACAGTGAACTTCAGAGATGCTTCCCACTTCAAGGAGGAATTCTTTGTGGGCACAAACATAATACTACTCTACTGTCACACATTCAGCACTTATTGTGTCAAATAGGCAAGATGGAGTCTCTCCAAACACATTAAAAGGAAGAAACCAGATAGAAACATAAAAGTTTATATATTACACAGTAAGTGCACAAGTGTACAACAATAAAAACAGTAACAACTTCCTCTCTTAGCCTCTCCAATTTAAAACGTCAGAGTCGTCCCTCCTACCTCCAGCACCAATACTTCCAGTGCTCTAAGGAAAACACCAAACCTCCTAACAGGATCAGTAAAGCCCACCACAGTCTAATCTCTGCCCACCTCCAGTATCAACTAGTCCGGTGATGGCGAACTTCTTAGAGACGAGCAACCAGACTGCAACCCAAAAACCACTTATTTATGGCAAAGTGCCAACACTGCAGTTAAACCTGAATACTAAGGTTTTAGTTTAAAAAAGAAAAACAACATGCATGTCATAGGTTTGTCACCACTGATAGTCTCTGTACCAGAGCTTCAGTAGGCTTTTCTCACGTCTTCTAACCTGCTTTCCCTCTGGCCATGGGACTCTTGCATGTGCTGTTCTCTCATAACAGCCATCACTTCTCTTTGCCTAGAGAAAGGGTCACTTAATTCTTCAAATCTTGTTGGAATTTTTACTCCCAAAGGAAATACTCCCTTAACTTAGGTAGTATAGTATAATTAAAACCACTAGTTCTCTAGGGTCTGGAGGTGTACTTCAAGTAGAGCACTTGCGTAGCACATACAGTCCCAGTGTTTTAGTCCCAGTACTACCAAAAAAAAAAGAGCAATAAGAACCACTGCTTGAGGGCCAGGGATTTAGCTCAGTGGTTCCACCGCCTGCCTCGAAAGCGAAAGGTCCCGAGTTCAATCCCTGGTACAAAAAAAAAAACCAAAAAAAAAAAAGAACTACTTCTTGAGTTCTAAATCCTAGGTCTGCCAAAGCTCTATAGTTTTGAACAAGTCACATAATACTTTGTGCCTTGATTTCTTATCGCTATTGCGAGGACTGAATAAATTAAATTTAAGTAAAGCACAAGAACAGTTACCTAGGGAACAGAGCTCAAAATACTTTTGACCAGGGCCGGGGATGTGGCTCAGCGGCACTGCACCTGCCTGGCAAGCACAAAGTCCTGAGTTCAATCCCTGGTACCGAAAAAAAAAAAAAATAGTCTTGACCTGCTCAAATCCCTCCACAGTACTAGCATCTCTTCCCATTAGCATTTTTACACTTATTTCTCTCTCACTATTAATAGACTAAAATATTGAAGAGACCAGAAATCATGTTCATTCTCTATAGCTAGACCACAGGATGCAGTCAATAAAATTTGTTAAGAAATAATAGCTAGTAAGAAGCTGAGGCCCAACAAAGTGACCCAATATACAAAGTCTAACAAATATGACTCCAAAATATAGACTTTGGACATACTGCCTCAGGTATAAACACCTATCTTACAACTCCAACTGATGTGGTCAACAATGATTAAAAGACAACAGAATTATAAAGATAAAAGAACAAAAACTGGCTTGGCAACAGAAAGAACAGTGTGAGCGGGCATTCTGAAGCTGACACTAAGCAAATACAGGTGCATGATTACCTCCAGCTCTCACACTGCCCACTTAGGCCTCAACTGCCTTCTCCTGGGGTCTGCAGGTATAGCTCAGTGGTAGACATGCATGAGGCCTTGGCTTCCATCCCCAGCACCCTCCCAAAAAAGTTAAAGATAGGACCATCTCAAAATGTCTTCCAATTCTAAATTTCTTATTAAAATAGGTCAGGTAGTCTATGCTGGGAGATTTATAAGATTCCACATGAATGGGAAAACGAATGAGGAGGTACAAACACAACAACCTGTAGGTCAAGCTGCCAATAGGACCCCTTAAAATGTTGACCTGAACAGTGGTGAAATGTGTTTCAAATCAGGCTAACCACTACCCAGAAAGGAAAAATAAACTCACAGGATGCATTTCACACATAGTACACTATGAAGTCATACAATCTAAGCCGGCTTTCAACTCACATGTAAAATCTATCAGCGATTCTGACATTGAATAATACTTTAAGATAAACTCATAACCCTAACTCTACTTGAATAGCTATTCACAGCGTCTCTTCAAGGCTGGGAAGGGGCAAAAGAATACAGTAACTGTTAGGATTCTAAAACACATCTTGGAATGCCTCAAAGGAAGTACAATACCGCAAGGTACTAGAATCTAGCCACGGGCAGTGCACAGGTACTGCGCCACAACCATCAGGTGTTGAAGGACTGCAGAAAACCCACTTGTGCTTGCATGCGTGGGCCACTCACTACCTTAAGCCACTGCCCTCCAGGATCCGCGGAAGTAACCCCGGTGGCAAGGAGGGACATGGTCCCAGCCCTCTCTGGCGCAGACTCCCGGATGGAGAATTAGTGAGCGCAGAACGCACCCGGGCCCAATCCAGGCCAGGGGTACCGGCAAGAGGGGCCGCGTCTGTCGCTCTTGGAACCACTGGGAAGCGGGACAGGCCGGCGCACTCTGGCAGCGGCCGTGGAGAGGGGGAGGCTGGAAGCCCACTGAAGTCCTGGCCCGGAGAGCCCCGGCGCTCCTCACCTTCAGGGTCCACAGCGCCGCGCTCCGCATCAGCTGTTGCGGAGGCTGCCGCCCGCGGCGTCCGGCCGCGACCAAGGCTACGATGCCTGCCCAGAGCCCCGCCATTGTCGCCCCGGTCGACCGGCGCAGCGTTGACCTCTCACCTCGCCGAAGGGGGCGGAGAAGGGGAGCGCCTGTGCTCCAGCCAATCAAGAGCTAGGGACCTTACCCCCCCCCGCCCCCTGCCACGCGGGCGGGGAAGGAGGTGGTCCGGTGGAACCGCGTGGGCCCCTCAGAGGCTCTGCGGAGCATAGGGCGCTAGGACCCGGAAGGAGCAGACGGGCGGCGCGCAGTCCCGGGAGCCTAGGAGGCCACTGTACCGAGCCGACCCAGGAGAGGAAAGGCTGCAGGACCCGCTAGAGTTGGGGCTACCGGCCTAGGAAGACTCGGTACCAGCCCAGCTACCACTTAGCAACCAAACTGCAGCCCTAATAAACACATCAGAGTCAAGCTCTTAACTATTTGCCTCTCCTAGAGTCAACTTGAATTACAAACCCAGAAGTGACCTAGAGGAAGTTATAGCATGGTACATGCCAAAAGAGCTATAAACAAAATGAAGTTATCTAAGAAGTGACATTTAATAGAATTTTAAAATATAAGTAGAAACAAATGACAAATGGAAAGGATTATCAGTTTCACAGATTTCTCAGTTTTGTACCTAAGGCTGAATTCATTTCCTATCGAGGAAAACTGCTTTTCTTTTTCATTCTTTCTCGCCTACCCCATTTTTTACTCTTTAGGTTGGTTCTCTTTTGGTCCTATTTTTCTTATTGATGTTTCCTTCATGAAAGGTGCTTGTAACAAAAGATACCTGTCTCACAATCTCTATTCTCCACTTGTTCCTTTAACAAGAGAACTTCTGACTTATAACTGGGAATGGCCACCCACCCAAAAGTGCGATACCCAGCCTCCCTCCCTTCCCACAAGATCTGGCCATGTAACTAGGGACATGACGACTGTGCCATTAAAAGGCATGGGGTGTCCCCACCTTCGTGTCCTCTTTTTCCTAAATAAAAATTTGTTGGTGGGTGCTGGAGAAGCCCTGTTAACCCACAAGATAGGAGCCCCATGAAGAACACAATAAAATCACCACTTTCAATATTAATGTCTCTATTGCTAACATAGCCTATAATTCTAATACAGTGTTTTCAAGGGAATATAAATGACACTTTGAACCAGAAAGTTATGCCTTGTCTGAGCTGTGTCTCAGTTTTGAGATGATTATTATCTCCAAAGCCTACTTCCTGTTAACAATGTCTTAAAATAATTGTTCCATGTACTTTGTCCAATTTTCTATTTATTCATAGTGGGAGAAGTAGTCCGGGACCAGGTACCCTACAATAGCCAGAAGTAGAAGCCGTGTCTCAGTGTTTTGAAAGAGTGTTACAACTTGTTCCTGCTTCTAGGTTGCTCTTGAGAAATCAAATGCCAGCTTTCTTCATCTTTTGTATCTTATTAGTTATTCTGTTTCTACTCTACCATTGTTCATTGGTTATAGGGCTGGGGATTTAGCTCAGTGGTTTCACCGCCTGCTGTGTAAGCTCAGGACCCAAGTTCGATCCCCAGTACCAAAAAAAAAAAAAGATACTCCATTGGTTATAGAGCAGAGGGAATTGTGAATTATGGAATCATGAACAGCATTATCCACTACAGAGACCAAGGCTGTGTTCCACCTGGAGACCCTGAACTTTGAACTACATACCTGTGGCTCTGAGTGGAAATAAGTGCAGATTAGATGTGCTCAGCTGGGAAACATTACCTTCCCTTTATGGCTCCAGGCTACAGTTAACCAAACAGGGAATCTAAGGGAGGAGGGTGTGAAGGGCACACAGGTAATGGGGAAAAAAATTAGAACCAAGACACAACACGTACAGGTACAAACAGCCAATGATAAATGTAAATGTATTGTATACCTAAAATGTACCAATAAAAGAATATAAGGAAAAAAAGGGGGAATCTACAAGAGATTTAGAAGCCACTGTAAAATATGTAGCAAAGTTTCTTGAAAGTTCTCAGCTTGTCCTCAATCTCCACTCTGTTTTGCAACCTTGATCCACCACTAGATGAGGCAACTATTTCTCACTGACCCCTCTGTAAGGTGCTTTCTAACAGTCCCATTTGGCAGCCAGATACACTTGGCTTCCCCCTATCAGTCAGACTCCAACTTTGCACTTGTCAATGCTTTAGGCAACCATTTTAATTCCTCTTTTTTTGGTCCTCTGAAAAGAGTCCATGGCACAGTTTCATAACACACATGATCTGGAGTCCAAAAGCCAATGCAGTCCTTCTTCCTAACTGAAAACTCCTGAGCCTGGTATTTAACTGGATGTATTTTTAGCCAGGGATTTAGTTCAGTGGTTCCGGCACCTGCCTTGCAAGCGCAAGGTCCTGAGTTCGATCCCCAGTACCAAAAAAACCTAAAAAAACCAAAAATTTAAATCTAACTGGATGCATTTCTATCAGCATTCTGGTTTTCTGAGCTCTAACCAGAATCTCCCATCAAGTTCAGTTTACAGCATTCCAGAGCTCCTTCTTCAGTAGGCATCTCCAAAACTTTCCAAACTTTTCCTGGAAATCAATTCCAAAGGCTCCTGATCCACATGACCAGATAATGTCACAGCAATGACCTTCCTGGTTCCAAAGTCTGTATTGAGTTACTGTTCTCTTTGCTGAGACAAAATGCCCAACACACAAGTTAAAGGAGGAAAGGTTTATTTCAGTTCACAGTGTGTACAGGTTTCAGTCCATAGTCAGCTGGCTCCAAGGCAGTGTGGTATGGCAGAGGGGCATGACAGAGGAGAAACAGTCCATGACAAGGCAGGCAGAAGACAGCAGCAACAACAAGCCTGCCTTCCTTCTCTCCCTTTATAGTCCATCCAGGCTATACATTTATTAACACCCAGGGTGGGGTCTCCATTACCCACACTCAGAACTACGCTAATTCCAATTAGTGGGATAATTTAGTACCACACATCCTTAATCTCAGTATCTCACACCCTAGATCCAGCCAACTCTGAAAAGCCCCACCCATGAGTTCATGAGGCTTTGGGGGGACATTCTAGATACAAGTCATAACACCATCTAATATTTGGTCCACATTCAATTTTCTCCAATTATCCCAGAATGTCTTTGATAGCTGTTTTGCTCTTAACCAGGATCTAAACAGGATTCTTGCATTGCATTAAGTTATAACATCTCTTTATTTTCTTTAAATCTGTAACAGTCCCAACCCTGGCTAGTTGTCTTGTAAAATGTCTCACATTCTAGATTTGTCTAATTATTTCTTCACGGTGCTATTTAACTTTTTATTCTATGCTCTATATTTTCTATAAATCTGTGAACTCAACCAAAATAGATCTTGCCCCTGGAGGATACTTAAAGGTTTGGAGACACTTTAAGTTGTTAGAATGGAACAGGAGAGGAGGTGCCACTAGCATCTAGTGGACAGAGCCTACAGATGCCTATAAACTTCCTACAGTGCACAATACGGTGAACATCAACATAGAATTCTCTGGCCCAAAATACTGAGATGAGAAACCCTGCAATAAACTGAAATTTAAGCATGTAAGGCTTGCTTAAATTCATGTTAGTTATTGTGACAAGGATGTCTCAGGTGTGACAGTGTATGCACACTGTATCACATATAGAAAAATACAATGTCAGCTTGTCCACTGCTACATTTGGCCAACTAGATAAAGTGGTAACTGCTAGATCTCTCTACTTCAAGATAAGCTTTCCCTGTTGTGATTGCTAAGTAACCTACAGGGTGAATCTCTTTTTTTTTTGGTACTGGGGATCGAAGTCGGGTCTTTGCGCTTGCGAGGCCAGAGGCGGAACCACTGAGCTAAATCCCCAGCCCTGCTCCCTTAGTCTTTGAAAGCTTTTGAACCAGGCTCACCTTGTATGTTTTAGTGCTCTGAAGCTGGAATCAGATATTTCTCAAGAGTCCTGTGTCCTCTTAGTAATGAATGGTATTTAGAAAACAAGATCTGAGCACTAAATGTGATCACTTATATACTTGGGTGCTCCTTTCAATTGACAAATCTAGGAAGACTTTGTTAAATTAGATTTTGCACTAGAAAAGTACAGGTGGAAACTGTGATGATTAATTTTATGTGTTAACTTGACTAGGATAAGTAAGGGATGGCCAGATAGCTAGTAAAACATTAAATCTGGAGGTGTCTGTGAGGGTGTTTCCAGAAGAGGTTAGCATTTCAATCAGTAAACTAAGATCACTCTCACCAGGGAAGGCAGGATTATCCAATTCAATGAGGGCCTGACTAGGACAAAAATGTGGAGGAAAAGTGAATTCACTCTCTTTGCTTGAGCTACGCCCTCTGTCTTGGACACCAGTGCTCCTGGTTCTTAGGTTTTCAGACTGATATTTAAACCACTGACTCTCAATCTAGTTGCTGATAGCTAGGCACCTAGTCTTGGAATGTTGCCTCCAATTACAGACTTTGGTGGATATAGTCAAATATGTAAACACCTCATAGGATACACTGAGAATTTTTAAATTTATGGTAAAATATACATAACATAAATGTGGCATTTTAATTTTTTTTATTTTTTTAACTGGGGATTGAACCAAGGGCCTTTGCACTAAGTTATAGCCCTACCCCTCCCTTTTTTTAGACAGGGTCTCACTAAGTTGTCCAGGAAGGACTCAAACTTGGATTCTCTTGACCCAGCTTCCCAAAGTGCTGGGATTACAAGCATGTGCCAACATGTCCAGTTTAGTCATTTTTAAATATACAGTTCTGTAACATTAGATACATTCACACTACAGCACCACTGTCACCACCATCTATCTCCAGGAGGTGCTCATCTTTTTTTTTTTTTTTTGGTACGGGGGATCGAACTCGGGTCCTTGCACTTGCACAGCAGGCAGTGAAACCACTGAGCTAAATCCCCAGCCCTAGGAGGGGCTCATCTTGCAAAACTGAAACTCTACCCATTAGACCCTACCTTCCTGTTTTCTCCCTCCTTCCAGCCCCTGGCAACCACTATGCTATCTTCTGTCTCCATGCATTTGATGTCACTCTATACTTCACACAAGTAGAATTATATACTCAGTTTTATTAGCAGATATAAGTAGCTGGACTAAAGCATCCTT